ATTATCTGAAGTAATAAGCATAAATTCAGTTTTATGGAAAATGCAGTTTTGTGTAAGTCTGTTGCATAGATCTTCCATTCTGTGTGCTCCATCTGCATGTGCAATCTGCTTCGATATTTTCAGCCAGCTTGCATGGGCAGAATAATGCATACAATTAGAAAGCAACCTCACAGGCATTCAATAAACTGCCTTCATTATTACACTCAAGAGAGTCCCTTTGGATGTCTATAAAAGCCTAGTTTTCTGCCTGTTAGCTAAATAATTGACAATGCTTAAAATAATAAGGAGCAAATGAACAAAATGAAGACCATTGTGGTGAAAAGAAGCAAACAAAAGATTCTCAAGGCTGCAAACCCTTTTTGTTCAAGTCCTCTTTCATTCTCTCTAGCAATCTATATTAAAAGTCCGGTCAGGTTTCCACTTGCACTTCTGTGGGGAAAATTTGTTACCAGCCTGTTGTTTGAACCACACATCATAGGGGACTGAAAACTGGCAAGGACACCAGTATTTATCCTGTGAAAATAGATAAAAAAAAAAATAAAAATTCTGGTCTGATTCAGGCTTTATTTTCTTGCATTTTATGACTTTTGAGAAAACTGCTTTGGCAGGCACTTGTATATCAGCTTGGTTTGGTGAACCTTCTGCATTGTGCTCAGAATACGCACTTAGAGGCACTCTGGCAAGTTCTGTTTCCAGCTCCAGATTCTGAGCAGAACATATTGAGTGCACACATGTACCTGAGTGCAGCAGTGCCAGGAATTTTTACAGAAGCACAACCTTCACAAAAACAGAGGCATGAACGCGTAACAAAGGGAAGGATGAAGTGATATAACAGCCATGGTGTACTATTAAAAAGTAACCCTATGTTCTAGACTGCTTTTCTCATTATGTAAATAGGTAGATGGCTATTAGGAAAGCAGCAAACCCCTTCAAACACTACAGTTACTGGGAAGTCAAATCCAAATTAAATAAAAGCACCTTACTAAAGAGCTGGGCTCAAACCACATGGTTTGAGCAGTTCAGGCACAGATTCACACAGCCTGCACAGCAAGCTACAGAGAAAAGTAAGGCATGAGTTAGCCATCTCTCATTACTGTCTAAATGACAATTTTTGTCTCCCATCTAAAGAGGGATGTCCTAAAATGTCCTGGGCCAGCCTCCTAACCTCTTCTTTGCTCTCACTTGAAAAGAGGACAGTTAGTCCTTTCCTCACCAGGATTAGCAATTGCAAAGTAAGGATTACACAGTCATTTATCACCTTTTAATGCATTCTGACAGAAATGCAGTCTCTGTCACAGGCCATCAATGTAAAATACATGTAAGACACCATTACTCAGAAGCAAGGGCTCCATTTCATGTATGAGCAGTTTCCGGTAGACAAGGGGACAAATACTCATTTTCTAGATCTGGCAGAACTACAGCAATAATAACACAATCTCTCAAGTACTTCTCCTCTGTGAGTAGAAACCAGTCACACATCAGTTCCCCCAGCCCAAAGTCTGTTCCTGTGTGCTCTTCAGGCTGTTTATACACAGCTGCTTTAAGAGGTACCTTGTAAGTTTTGTCAATCTTTGTCACCTAAGAGAGTCTGAGTCCACCTGGGTCAGAGGAGCTAGAGGAGCTGCTGATCCCAAAAGAGAGAGGCTTGCAGAATTTTCCACAGCCTTCTGTATGCATGCCCAGACTTCATTCTCACGAGACATAAACACATAGCCAAGCAACTGTGACAACAGATACAGCTGACTTCCAAGGGCTAGTTGTACACAAAGAAGCTAACAAAGCTCCCAAAAGATAGGAGGTGACTGTATTCTGAAGACAGTGGACAATATTGCAGACAATTTTCCCTTTTGGCATTTACTTACTTCATGTTACACCCTTTGAAAGGTGATTTCAGTGAGATGTTCTTGGTTTTAATAGTGATAGGAATTTAATCAGAACAACAAACTCCTGGGCAGCATCGTACTTTATTGCCAGAGTATGTTAATGACATGAGAATCTTAATTGCCTTTCCTTATCAAATAGAAGTGGCATTTCATAAAGGAGAGGTACTGATTGGGCTGTACCCCGTGGAGACTGATACAGCTGGAGGTGGTGATCAATTTTAAAAGGTTTCCCAGCTAATGAGACTGCTGGTAGGCATTGATCTCCTCAGGAAAATTGTGATGTTGCAGCTGCAGAGGCTTACAGAGGACAAGCTAACAAGGCAGCTTATCTTTTGAAAGGGCTCCACAGGATATGACTTTGCAGAGGTCACTGATTTATATGCAGTGTATGACCTTCCTTTACCTCTCTCCTAGCAAGCATGGGAGGAGATCAAAATACTCTAGCAGAGACAGCAAGGAAAGGGGCAAAACCTTATATTTGTTCTCTTTGCCTCTAGACATAAGGGTCCTAAATGATGGACCCTTTTTTGCATAGTAGGCAAAATCACATCTTTAAATAGAATCATAGAATAGTTAGGTCCCTTTTTCCAGTCATCAGGAACTTCACCTGACTGCCATGATTTCTCAAATATGATGGCCAGCGGCTTCGCAACTTCATTAGCCAGCTCCTTCAGGACCCACAGATGGATTTCATCAGGACCCATGGACTTGTGCACGTTCAGATTTTTAAGATGGTCTCGAACCAGATCCTCTCCTACAGTGGGCGCAAGGTCTTCATTCTCACAGTCCCTGCATCTACCTTCCAAGACTTGGGTGGTGTGGTCAGAGCCTTTGCCAGTGAAGACCGAGGCAAAGAAGTCATTCAGAACCTCAGCCTTCTCCAAATCCTGTGTAGCCAGTTCTCCCGAGAGCTTCCTGAGGGGACCTACATTCTCCCTAGTCTGTTTTTTATTCACTACATGCCTATAGAATCCTTTCCTGCTATCCTTAACATCCCTAGCCAAGTTCAAATATCAAGCACTTCTATGTGAACATGTCGAACAACTGTCAGCACTTCAGTGGAATTACTTTACAAGATCTGATATGTCACACAGTATCTTTCCATTACTTCTGGATGTTGTGCTCTATAAAGCCAGTGTCTCTTTGCGATACAATCTCAACAATGTCCAGTGGTAAAGACTCCTCTTCCAGGGCCCACCAGAAGCCATCCTTCAGATCAGGGAAGGCACTAGTGTCACTGTACGGTATGGGAGGTTTTTGCTTAACCAAAATCGTATTCACTGTAGGTAGGTTTTCACCTCACTGCCTCCAGGTGCAGTATCTGCAGGGCCCTCATGGTGTGTGTTCAATACATGATATGTACAAATAATCTTCTGATAGTTGAACATAATCTTGAGCAAAGGAGCTCAACAATACATCTTTACCTTCATTTGCATCAGTCAGTTTGGTCTCCTAAGATGACACAGACTGAATACTCACTAATTCGTAAATCAGGGGACAGAACAGCTGTCAAGCAGCCTCCTTCTCAGTGTCCAGGTAGCTTCTGCACCACCTGGGGACCAACTGACTGTCCACAAGAAGTTTTTTCAGATGGTTTGGGCCTGCTTTTGGCAGAACCAAGCCTACTTTTAATTGAAAAAGTGCTGATCAGCAGAATTCATTTCACCCTAAGCAAAAAAATGTACCAAGTGAAGGTGAGGGACAGCAAGAGATATGTCTGTGTGCATAACTGAATCAGATTTAAAACAAAAATCAGTTCAAATGGGAAACTGACAATCCCTTCAGGAAAAAGCAAGTCCCATAACTGAGGACCCTGCAATGAAAAGATCTGATGAGTTCATTATTGAGGTAGGCTCAAAGAGCATGAAGGTGTCTGGTGTGTCAGTAACAGGCAGAGATCTAAAGCTGCGCAGGGTCTTCAAAAATCCTGAGGAATCCAGGTGTGTGGGAAATCCACACTGGGACAAACAGAGGACAAACAGCAGGCAAAATACCAGTATCTACAGGCAAACTTTGGCAATGCATTTAAAGAAAGAGCTGTACCTAAAGCCAAATGGGAAGAAATAAAAGGAAAAAGTCAAGGAAGCCAGAGATCAGTGAGAAAGCACTAAAATGTCTATGCATCAGAGAACAGTCTGGGCAAATGATGAAAGAACTGGAGCTACTAGCATGGGACAAAATTGACTCCTTTAAAGGTCACAGAGGAGGAAAGAGCAATCAATCATGCTAAGAACACAGTTGAGCAATTTCAGGAGCCAAAGATAAAAAAAGGTAAAGGTGACTAAACTAAATAAATAGGGTAGAGTGAACTGGCAGGGCAGGAATTTCACTGCCAATGGAATTAATTATGCTAGAAGTTAAACTGTATCTAAATCTGATATTAAGGAGGTATTCCTAGAAAGTAGGTCTTCACAGCAGATCTTTACATTTAAGCTGTAGGACCATGCTACATATAGGAAGTCTTCATTATTTTCATGCGGGTTGGATTTCTTTACTAGTCACTAAAATAAATGGGTAATTTAGATCCCATTTCAATAATTAGTCTTGAATGTTCATATATTGATTCAGTTAGAGAAAGAAAGCACAAAGTCATTCTATAATTCACAGTTTTCATTTCAAAGTGTATGTTTTGAGAAGCTAAGAGAAATCTACTGAACCAAATTTCTCAGAGTAAGGTATGGACAAGGCTTGCAATATTTCACAGAATCAGTGATTGAAGTTGGAAGGGACCTCTGGAAGTCATCTCATCCAACCTCCGGCTCAAGCAGGGCCACCTAGAGCCAGTTGTCCAGAACTTTTCAATATCCTCAGGGACAGAGACTCCACAACCTCCCTGGGCAACCTTTTCCAATGCTTAGTCATCCTCATCGTAAAAAAGTGTTTCCTGATGCTCAGGAGGAACCTCCTGTAGTTTTGCTTGTGCCCATTGCCTCGTTCCCTAAAGTCAGAAGTTTCAAGTCAAAAGGTGAAAAAACAGCAACAGAAGCTAAACCCTCCCTGAGCCCCAAACTGGAAAAAAGCAAACAAATAATAAATAAAATAAAATACAAACCCCACCCAAACCAGAAGGACAAGCAGATGAAGAATTTTAGGTAATAAATTTCAGATTTTACTTACTAATGTTGATCTTCAAGGAACATCTCTCTTCTTTGCATTTCTTGCTGCCTCTTCTTAACTTCAAGTCTCTCTGCCTATAGCATTAAAACCAGGAAAACGTAACTGAGATTTTAGTAAGCCAGAAACAAACACTGATTATTTCAATTTAAGAATTTCAATATTATGGTTTTGGTTGTTTTTTTGGTTTTTTTTTGTTTTTTTTTCCAAACAGCTATAGCAGCAGGTGGGTACAGAAGTGACCCAATCTCAAATTTAAAAGTATTCAGATATGACCAAACAGCTCCTAATCAAGAGACCAGTCTGAAATACAAAAGCACAAGGTTCAGCGGGAAGAGCACTCAAAAGCAGCTCAGTGTATTAAAAACACAAATCAGAAGTGCCAAACTGGGATTTCTGCCCTACTGTATTTTGAGCAGAAGCTACCCCGCTGCAGCTGAGGGGGGGGATGCTCCAACAGGAGCTCCTACCCAAAGCTCACAACGAGTAGCACATTGAGCTAACTGCAACCTTGGACTGTCACTGCTCATCACCCACCCTGAGAATGAAAAACAGTAATTGTTGGGTAACCCAGCAACCAGGCATTGCTCTAAAGAAAGTGCCCTGGAAATTTCAGACAATGACTTACAGAGAAGAGAAGGGAGGTGAAAGTGGGAATGGCCTGTTTGATCAGAGCCCCATATCAGGGACAGGACACTGTACCTGGGTGGAGGTTTTGTGCAGGGCCAGGTAAAATGGGGTGTGTGCTTGTGTAAAAGGGAAAGTGGTGTTAGGAACTGGGCTATAACCCCCACCCCCATCATTTTCTTCTTGTTCTGCAATCAATAACATTTCAGTAAAATTACAGTCCTACTGGCAGTTAATTACTTTGCCTTCAGTGATTTCAGGGTGAGCATTTTTTAATTGGATAAAGAATGACTGTCTGGAAGAGATTTGCAAAACAAGTGCAAATTCCTCCTTGGCATGTATTGAATTAAGGCAAAAAAAAATCCTGTCAGATGTCTGCTGATGGGAAAAGAGCCACTGTGCTGTGCAACAATACAAACTGTTGGAAGGCAAAGGACTTGTTATTTAGAAAAAAGCAATAGGAAAATAAACAAAAGGAGGAAGATGAATCTCTGAATAAGATGTCCCATTGCTCAGTCATTTGTCATGCTGAGACAGTGGTAGTACTGATGCAATTAAAAAAAATCAAACTAAAGCAAGGGATTTCACCCCACAATATAGGTAAATTTTGACAGTGTTCAATGAACATCTTGTTTGCTCCTACTCAAAGACAGATGATTTTTTAGGCAAAAGGCTCCTTCCCATCTGTGCAACTTAACAATTTACAAGGAAAAAAAAAGGCAGAGGAAGAAAGGAAATCTGACAGCATCTATTATTGTCAAAATTGATGTTGCTACCCTCAGACATCAGTAATAGCTCCCAGGCTTTTCCCCAACATGGCTCAACATAGCAAGCTGATACCTTCACCTCTGAAAACAACACTTGATGTGGGATCCACCATCATATTGCAAGGCTCCTGAAAGTTCAAACCCGAAGTTCACCAGAGATGCTGTGGTCTAGCTCCTAGCTAGAACATGACAGTGATGTTAACTTTGAACAGTTCTTCAATATCACTGCCATCTCACAGTAGATAAAAACAAAGGAAATACCCTACAGCTATTCAGAATGGTGCCTGAAGAAAACTCCAGCATATTGAAATTATTTACTTGTGGCTGGTGTGATTGTTTTCTCCTCTGGAGGTTTACTCTGGGACCCCTGCTTAGGACAGACAATGGGACTCTAACTAATGATAATCTATCAATAGACATTGCCAAAGTACTCCACATTTGGCACAGCCTTCAAAAACAAAGCCAAGAGCAGAACAGCTGTGATATTGAAGGTAACCATGTTGAAAAGCATTAGCAGAAGGTCTGTAAAGTGCCTGGTTTTAACAAATTCCCGAAAAAGGCCTTTCATGCTGATTAACACAGTCAAATTAAAGAGCACATGATCTGATAAAGAATAAAATGAAATTACAGCTTATTCTAAATAGGACAGTTTCCATCTAAAGACGGTAGGACTGTTACTATGTAATGTAAGAGCAAAAGAAATTTGCACACAGTAGAATTACACTAAGCCTTTTAACATCTTTTGAATCTTTAAATATTTCATCAAGATTTAGACTATACAAGGAAAGACTAAAAGTAGGGTAATAGGAACAGAGATTGAATGGCAGGAAACAAATATCCGGTGTACTAACTTATGCTATTTTCTGTAAACCACAAATGCAGAAAGCTTAAAAAACAAGAAGCCAAATATCACCCACTTGTTTATTTTTCTGGGAACTTTGACAATCCTTCCACCCAAAATCACAGAATCACAGAATCAACTATGTTGGAAAAGAGCTTTAAGACCATCAAGTCCAACCATTACTCCCGGACTGTCAATTCCACCACTAAACCATGTCACTGGGGGCCTCATCTACATGGGTTTTGAACACTTCCAGGGACGGTGACTCCATCACTTCCCTGGGCAGCCTGTTCCAATGCTTGAGCAACCTTTTGGTGAAGAAATTTTTCCTAACATCCAGTCTAAAGACACAAAGAAAGTGTGATTGGGTCTGATCAAAATCTGTGATGTGAAGGGCTACACAAAAGGTATCTAAGGTACTAATGGGTAACTAATAACAGCGCTACTTCCCATGTACTCCCACACTTTCTTCAGAACAGACACACATCTCGGCATTAGGGACAAACACAGAAGTACGGACTTCCCTGCTAGTGTTACAAAGTCTTTCCAAAATTATTTCAGTGAGCACTGAAAGATCACTAGCTTACAATAATATCCAAACTCATGCAGCCCAGAGTTATCCCATGAACAAATCAAAGCAGGCCCAGGAGAAGCTCCCTGACGTGGAGTGCAGGGGATCCCAAATCCCATTCGCTGCTCCACACAGACACTTGAGTGACAATTCACACAAACTGGGCCTGTGGGGGGACCTCACAGAATGAGGGGGAAGGGTCCACCCTACTCTATGGGAGCTGGAGAAGGACAAGGTAGATGCCAAGATCATTGGCAGTCCAGCACCAAACCTCATGGTTAATGAAAATATGGCAGAGACAAGCAGGTGGACTTGCACAGATGGTAAGGCAGACCTTCCACATTTGGGTACTGCTTTGGCAGGCACCCAGTTTTCTCTTGGTCACAAAGGTAATGGTAGAGTAGATACAGCTTTTCTCTGCAAAACCAGCATTAAAGCAGTAACATAAACAGATCCTGTGTTTATAAGCAGTACTGGCTTACAGTACATCATCTTTATAATCAAGGAAGAACTCAGTTGGGCACCAGCACCCATTCTAGTCATTGCACATTTGTCCATAGGGCTTCAGCATTCACATCTGATGGCAAAGCAGCTTTCCAGCTGTGAAAGTTTCAGAGGCCCTGCTGATAAAACTGGCTAGCCATTATCTTCTTTCAGACTGTCTGATGATTTGGGTTTTATTGAATCATAGAATCATAGGATCATAGAATGGTTAGGGCTGGAAAGGACCTCAAGATCATCTAGTTCCAAACCCCTACCACAGGCAGGGAAGCCTCACACCAGACCATGAATAATAACCTTCAGCAAAAGGACTTGCCAGCAAGAAAAGAAAGCTTGTGCATTTGTAGAAAGGCATGCTCTCCACTGAGTTCCCGCAGGTGCAATTGTCTACAGATCTGTCACTTCAAAAATAAAGTTCTCCTGCACTAACCAGGGCCTAATGTTGCTTGTACAGTACCAGTTCTTTAGGATCCCTTCCCTGTCATACTCTGCTCTTGAGAGCCTTTCATCTGCAGGCAGGGTGAGGCAGCCAAATTGACACTAAAAAGAAGCTTTTCAGCATGCTTTCCTTACACACAGAGCTACATTTTTTATATATAAAATATCTTCCAAACAGAAATCAGCAGCAGCTCAATCGCTGTTGTGGAAGACACACCAAATAAAGGAGTTCAAATTAAGAGTTCCCTTTCATGCTCCTCTGTTTTGTTTGTTTGCTTTGTGGGTATATGTTTGCTTATTCAAATTAAACCATCTGTTAGGCAAAGATGTTTTGCCATGACGTAGCATTCTGCTTTATAAGAAACTGATAGCTACAGTTTTACTATCTACAACATCTATAAAGATTTTATATTCTGTGGGAGTGAAGGGAAAGAAATTTAAAGAGCATGAAAAGAAAACTGATACATCAATATATTTTTTAGGTGTAAATTCAAATCATAGCAGTCTTGCAACATCTTTTGTGTCAGAAGCCCATGGGGAAACAATATATTTAATAGGTAAATAAAGTATAATTAATCCCCTTTCTACAATTGCTGTCATCACTGTTTCTGGAGCTATACATGAGCTGGTAACTGTTTATGACATTTTCACATGACAGTATTTATTGCCCCTGTGAGCTATTGGGTATGGGCAAATATTTATTGCTCAAAGAGCAATGCTAAGCACTGAAAGACTGGGAACAGACTAACCCTTACCTAGAGGCAATTAATGCTATTTTTGTTTGTGGGTGCCATCGTAAGCCATCCAGCAGTGATGATTTTTTAAATTAACTCTCAGCATTCAGCTTCTGCACAGAAGATCATTTTTACTGTTGTGAAGACAAAACCTGCAAACCTGAAATCTCCCTTTCTGTTATCATTACTACATACATCAGTATCATGCTCCTCCTCTTTTCTTTTTTTAGTTCCACATTACAATCTCAAGAGATTGTTACTTGGTTGCCAGCAAGGAGACATGAGTTAACTTTTGCAAAGGTTTATGCAACACACAGTATAAGATCCTCTGTGAGAATAACTAGGGGAAAAAAAACCAAAGAAACACAAAATCAAACATAGTATTTGAAAGTGAGCTACCATTGGTGTCAATGTATGGTGAATATTAGAAGGAAAGTGACCTTACATATTAGCAATACACCTGGGTGTGCAAGCCCCAGAGGGGCTGGAGTGGCATTTGAATTTCAGGGTGAGCTCAGCACAATGCAGATAGACTACACTGACCTCTTCACGATTTGGATTCCTTTTCCACTAGGACAGGCTATATTTTCTTGTATTTTTCCCATGCGTACAGCAGGCAGCTATGGATTTCTATGAGGTCTTTGTGTGATCTGCCACAATCTGATTTTACAGAGAAAGCTCATGCCAAAGTGAACTATATAATCTGTATACACAACAGTGTGTGACCTGTGTTCCCCTGACCCTAGTGTACTCCCTTTCTGCTAACTCTACAGGATGGGTGCGATTGAGATACTGGAGTTTCTGAAGAGCCAGAGGAATGCTCAAGCCCCAAAGAACACCAAGTAAGGCATCCTTTAGTCAAAGGAGAACTGAATTTCCTAACTCCTTGATGCAATCCAGGGCTACCATTTAATTTGTCTGTTCCGTGTAGTTCAGCTAAATCAAGTATCAAGACATGTCCTTTGTTTTATAGCTCTAACTCTGCAGCAATCATACTCACCTTTTCTCTCTGCAGTGCTTTCTTTTTCAGGATTTCAGTTTCTTCAGCTTCCTTTTTTGCTTTTATATATTCTTTTCTCTTGTGCTGCATTGACATAAACATAGAAAATAATTTTACATACATATGCATACAAAGAACACATAAGGTGACTTGACTTCGCTCCTGCAGTGCATGTCTTTCAAATCTAAAGTGTGTTTGAGGAAAGTTTCCAGAATTTTTTCTTATGATGAGACACTGAATAAAGCAGGCCATGCACCAGCTACTCCAGTATCAGCTTTAAGATGGCTGAGAAATCTAGGACTGATAAATGGGTATTTATGCAAGGAATCACACAGTTGATTGATAACTTAATAGCATTTAAACCTTTTATAATAGGAACAACACCTCTATATAAGCACTGGATGGGGTGGTATATTGATCAATTAGTTGAAGTTTAGGCAGCGTGCCAGATGATACAGGGAGGCATATAAGTAGCTTTTACAACCGCATGGGTTATCACTTTACATATGATCTGTGATACTGCTTGCTACATATTTATAGCCAGATTTCTCATTTTCTTTGGTGCAGAACATTTGTTTCTAGTTTTCCGCTGCTTCCTTCAGGTTTCATGGCTTTCTTTTGTAAAGCAGCTGTGAGTTCATTTTATAGCCATATGAAACACTTCATGAAAAGCAAGGGGTTTTGAGTTCTTATAATAAACAAATTTATTCTTCCTGACCTTTTGCTGGTATTTGGATTGCATGAGCATCATTTGCTGGTTTTGCCTTACTTGAGCTTCTGATTGCTTTCCACCTGAAAGGGAAAAAAAAAAAAAAAAAAAAGGATAAATTGCATTTTGCATGAGCATTTTAAGTTCAAATACCAGCCATTGCAGAACAGAGCAATAAAACAGATTGGATGTATGCATATACAGGAAATTTTTCATAATTACAGTAGCTGCCTGACATTAAAGAGAACAGATAGGAGACCTTTTTGATCATTTTATCCATCCATCAAAAGCACTAGCTTGTTATTTACAGAGCATCCACTGTATCAGCCATTCTACCAGCAAATAAGTCCTACGGTAGATGATCAGTTTACTGAGGAACTATTCCATTCTCAAAAAATCAGTTACGCTTTGCAGGTGAGCCTTCATTTTCAGATCTAGCTCTTGCCACCTTTGCTCAGTTTGTCACACATACACATATAGATTCAGAAATTTTATTACCAAAAAGTTTCTTTTTTATCAAGTTTAGGAGCTTGGAGTCTGCCAGCTAACAGGATGCTATCATTTGAATATCTTCTAAGTAATATCTTGGAGCTTTAGGAAGAATCACCTTTCTGAAATGGAAATCAAAGCCTTTTCCCACAGACCTCTTATTCATATTCAGGTATCAGAAGGTGTCCTTTCCAAAGGCATAAACTCTCTTTTGAAAACATCTAAACCTTTTTCCGTAATGTTCAGCCTTCACTTAAACAATAACGACAACAAAAACCCCACCACAAACAAACCCAAATAAAAAACCAACCACACAGAGAAAGTGTGTCTTAAGGGATGGAGAGAGTGGGTTTGATTCTATTATTTTGTCTACTTTTTTCCAAAGTATTTTCTTGCTTTAGGAAAACCTGGTGAGGTGCCTGACATCCTGGGCTGCACCAAATGGAGTGTGCATAGGTGGTGGGAGGTGATTCTCCCCCTCTGCTCTGCTCTGGTGAGACCCAACCTGCAGTGCTGCATTCTGCTTTGGGGCCCTCAACATAAGAACATGGATCTGTCGGAGCAAGTCCAAAGGAGGCCGTGAAGATGCTCAGAGGGCTGGAGCACCTCTCCTGTGAAGACAGCCTGAGGGGGTTGGACTTGTTCAGCCTGGAGAAAAGAAAGCTCTGGGAGACCCTGGAGCAGTTTCCAGTGCCTAAAGAGGGCCTGCAAAAAATCTGGAGAGAGATTTTTGCAAGGTCATGTAGTGACAGGACAAGGGGGAATGGTTTAAGATGAAAGAGGGTAGATTTAGATTAGATTTTGGTAAGAAATTCTTTACTGTGAGGGTGGTGAGACACTGGAAGGGGTTGTCCAGAGAAGTTGTGGATTCCTCATCCCTGGCAGTGTTCAAGGACAGGTTGGAGGGGGCTTTGAGCAACTTGGTCTAGTGGAAGGTGTCCCGTGGCAGAGGGGCTGGAGCTAGATGATCTTTAAGCTCCTTTCCAACTAAAACCACTCTATGGTTCTAGGAAACGTAAGACAACTATACTAGATCTTTCAGGAGAGATCAATCTTCATTAAAGTATCTTTCTCCAATTAGTAATGAAAGGTAACTAATTTTTAGGTACTTTTGTGAGGTTCAGTGGATAAGAGATCAATTCCCTTAGTGTGGCAACTTTTCTATGCACACAAATCCAGACCGCATCTGGAATATTGTGTGCAGTTCTGGGCCCCTCAGTTCAAGAAGGACAGGGACCTGCTGGAGAGAGTCCAGCGCAGGGCAACTAAGATGATTAAGGGAGTGGAGCATCTCCCTTATGAGGAAAGACTGAGGGAGCTGGGTCTTTATAGTTTAGAGAAGAGGAGACTGAGGGGTGACCTTATTAGTGTATATAAATATATAAAGGGGGAGTGTCACGAGGATGGAGCCAGGCTCTACTCAGTGGCAAACAACGATAGGACAAGGGGTAATGGGTACAAACTGGAACACAAGAGGTTCCACTTAAACTTGAGAAGAAACTTCTTCTCAGTGAGGGTGACAGAACACTGGAACAGGCTGCCCAGGGAGGTTGTGGAGTCTCCTGCCCTGGAGACATTCAAAACCCGCCTGGACACATTCCTGTGTAACATTATCTAGGTGTTCCTGCTCCGGCAGGGGGATTGGACTAGATGATCTTTTGAGGTCCCTTCCAATCTCTAGCATACTGTGATACTGTGATACTGTAATAACTCAGTTAAGATTAAACTCTCAAGAAAGACTGGCCATACGGTATACAAGCAACAAGCTTACAGTAGCAATAAGCACACAACTTGCATTGTAGAGTGTCTCTCCCCCAAGTCTAGAAAGTAGGATCGCTACTGACCAAGTTTTAAATCTTTTTGGATGTGTGGTCTTTCTTTCTAGTCTTTTATTGGCAACATTTAGAACTCTTGTGTTCACTGCATTTTTCTGCATGTTTTGCTGGACATAAGCTCTCAACAGTTTTTCCATCATTATTAGCCACTGCCTATAGCCTTTCAGCCAGGTTTAATTCATTCAGTTTGGCTTGCATGTAATGTGTCCAACATTCCACTGAAGTCAGAATATGTTGTGACTGGTTTTATATAGTATGATCAAAAAAAGAGACTATGGCATTTATCAAGCTTTTCTCCACTTACTGGTCATGGAGAACAGCAGAACATGCATCTTTCATTGCTCTCAACCCTCCACGGTACCTGAAAATTTGCCAGTTGAATATTAGAGAGTTGAAATCCAGAATATCTATTTCCCTATGGAAAATTAGAAACTTCAAGAATTCTCTGGTGACTTGGACCAGATGTGTAGTCTCTTAAAATCACTCTGAGGAAATAATATACGATACTTTTTACCTTAATGAGTACCTACATTTGTGAAATTAGAGATGCCACTTGTATTTTTTTCTTCTTCCTTGAGCTCTCTTCTGTTCCAAATTTGTTCCTGTGGGAATGATAAGATCTAATGATCTTTGCACCTTACCTCTTTTCAGAGGCACTGAACATAGTGCATGTGTCTCAAGTCTCCAGGGGTCTTTCAAAGTGGCAGCTAGACACTGACTGAAGAGCTCATATAAACTCCCTGAGTTCTTTCAGCTTTCTTTCCCCCTCTTAATTTGCTTCTTTCCAAAGAATGCAGTGGGACCAGAAGAAGACTTCCTACACCCAGTCACTGCAAGTTTGCCACCACACACCCAGTCACACAGCCAGCCTGCACACATTCTGCATAGACAACACACACAAAACTTCTGGGTTTAGATTTCTCTTTGTGTTCCTCTTGGGACAGAAGCATGTCTACTAGGAACTGCTCACAGGCAAGAAGAAGCAGCTTGAATTCACAAAGAGTATGTCCAGCTACATGACTGCACATGAATAGCTGGGAATACAGGGTGTTACACCGAATTTCAAGGTTAGTCTCACCACTGCAACCAACTGGGACTCAGGCTGCTGGGCAAAAGAAACATGTGGGACCAGTATCATCTTGACCACAAACACAAATCTTCATTGGAGTCAGTTTGAATTCCTCCATCTCCCACCTGGTACAAATTTTTATACACAGTGCATCACACGAAACTTACATTGTGCAGCATGGCAAAGAAAGAACTTAGTTCCCAGGTCAAGGCAGATGATAACCTGCACTGTTTACCCCAAATTCTCCTATGACAGCAAAGCAAAGGAAGAGCAGTTCCAGATCTACAAAATTAATAGAGGAATCATTTTAATCCTCCACTTTGTCAGAATTAATTTTGCCCATTTCTATTAGTGCAGTTCCTGAAGGTCATCCCATTTTTGCTGTGCAATATCCTCATGTTCTATATGGATGATGCTTTCAAGTTTTGTCTGGCTAGCAAGTTTCATCAGCTCTTTCCTACCTTTTATGCCAAAGACATTAAAGAAAGATAGTAAAACAAGATAGGTCTGAAGACTGGTACTTCAAAAGCACTTCTAATAGCTTTCCTCTTGCTTCAGCATAATCTTCAGTCTTAATTTCCATACAAGATTGGAGGTAGGTTCATTAGTTTTTTAACTTTTCATATTTTTTATTTTTTTTTTAGCTAACACCCAAATAGCACTAAATTAAATTATTTATAGTGCTTACAATTGAAGAGATCACCTGTCTAGAAAAAAAATTGGCTACCTTATCAAACACATCAGTTCAGAGTGACTTAAGTTCCTGCAGCCTTTCATCCTGTTTTCCATTTACCTGTGTCTGTTGTTATTTTTATAAAATTGGTAATTCAGAGCCTCACTCATTTAGCCTGCAAATGGCTGAAGCTGAAGGGATCACTTTTGCCTTTTAAAGAGCCAGCAGTCAGGAAAGCACATGTACTGGCCCCTAACACAGAGGAGTTTTCTTGTAGGTAACTGGAGGGTCTGACACATGCTGTCCATCCGCACACTAATGCCAAGTGTGCACCCCAACAGAGACACCAACCACAGACAATGTCACCAGCAGGAGGGATAATCTGCCTTTCTTCCCAAATATTAGTATAGATTTTCTACACTGATCTTGACAGATTTCTTGGGTGACAGTCTATGCTGTTTTGTTTCAGAATCATCTTGGTTGCCATGACCGTCAAAAAACACAGAGTACACACAGTAGGCTCATGTTAGCCCTGATGGACATTGAATCTCTTTAATAAGTAGCATGTGAGAAAAAGTGAAAAATGTTTCATGACCTGGAAAATAAATTTTTGTTACTCATAATAGATGATTTGCATGTCTTACCCAGTCTCTGTGGAACCAAGTTAATAGGCCTTTGCCTGTGCTTTTCCTTCCACCGCTGCAGGTCATCCAGCTCTTTCTTAGCAACTGAGCAGGTACAAAAAGAAACAAATATATGAAAGTTAGAGGCGACACTAAAAAGGAGGCATTGTTGTTAATTTTATGTGACCCTGAAGACCATCCAAGAACAGACAAACTTGTTTTCAAGGGGTGCATACACCCCCCAGGAGGTTACATAGTCAGAGCAATGATCAGCTAACAAAACAAACATTTTGCCTAATTTCAGACTGTATGGTGAAAAAACCTTAGGACTTAACCTGAGACAAGGGGCAGGGGCACAAAATTACAAAATGGAATATATAAACCTTTAGAATCAGTTCTAAATAATGTTAAGTTTCATGGCTTTTTAACAATAGCAGTGGAAAATTACTGAGGTGCATGATACATAGAAAAAAAGTAGAGTACAGCTAGAGAGCATACTGAGAATTCTTGTACAAAATAAATCATTATAGTTGACATAGTTTTAAGAAAAACAGTCTAGAAGAACAGGACACAGGGATAAGGAGTATCTGGGAATGGCGGGTGTCCAGGTTGGGCTACAGTTAAACTAACTGATAAGTAGGAGGACAGGAGGATTATTATGTCTCTGGTGCTAACGAACCGATTAAGGTGGTATAAGCATCTACTGTGCATGTTTCAAAGGCTGCCAGAAGTGATGAAGATTGTTGGAAGAAGTAAACAACCCTCAGAGACCACCACCACAATTCTGTACACATGAGGGGAACTTTCTGGAAAATGATTTAATCCATATGTAGCCTCATGAATATGTATATATGCCCAGTGACTATATAAGGACGGCTTGTGTAGCAATACGGAGACACATGTTAGGAGGAGCTATCCATCGTGTCTCCTTCGCTGCAATAAAGAATACCTGCTTATCAGCTTGAAAACTTTGTTGGCAAGTTTGTTCCTGGAGTATTCTCCGAATCAAACCCCAAAAGCAAAACAACAAAAAAGAGTAAAGGGACAGATAATAAACTGCTTTTTAACCCCTAGGAACCTGTAGGCAAATGCCACAGTGTTTACTCTTCTAGACAAAGCAGAAGCTGTTACGTTTAAGATGTTATTGCTGCATGGAGGGAAGTGCTTGTAGTGTAACGCTCCCCAGCAGGGAATAAAAAAAGTGATCTTCCCTCCCAGCTACATGCTCCCTGCATAACAACAGGAGGAATGCATAATTCAGCTTCAGAGTAAGACATTTCAATACTCATCCATGTATGGTAGGTGGCAAGTTCCCAGTGTGGTCAGGTGAAGTCTAGTCAATATAGCCAGAGGCACCAGCCGCATGGTCAAGGATGGCTGGTTGGTTAAACTGTGCTTTCAAATTGACTGACAAAGGGAAAAAATAGCAAGGCTGACAAAGCCTATGGAAAGAGGAGCTGTGTTTTACAGAAGTACATAATTCCTCTAGGCACTCATTTCACTCTTACTAAAACTAATATGAATCATATTTTCTAGCGGCAGTCTATGGCTATCAGATGATAACACCAGCTCTCCTCTAACAAGACAAAGCTAGTTCCTGGGCAAGTCCCTAAAGAGGCTGAAGACAGAAACCAGCTTGTTATTTCACCTTTGAAACAAGTACTTATGTAGAGACTGGACTTGTTGAGAGTATATTTCTGGCAGCATCCAAGGCAGAAACACCTGGCATGCTTCAAACTTGAACACTGGTGGCACAGAGTGAAAACAGATCTTTATTAGAGCAGAAGCATCTTTGCTGTTGACGTCAGAGCCAGCTCTAAGATCATGTTTTTATTTCTCCTTCCAGAAGGTTATAGTTTCATTCAGGAAAAATCCATTTTCTTTCTTGCAGCCAAAGGAAACCCAACCCTATACCAATCTAATGGTGAAGCATTTGAGCTGAACTCATTATGTTTGAGAAAAAAAATATTTAATTGCACTGCTTTCTTGAGGGCTCAAAATGTGAGTGACATTCCTTCAGACTTTCATAACTTGCACAAATAAACAGTCAGGAATGTAGGGCTGCAGTGCTTGGTCACCTCTGCATACAGAATTTCTTTTACAACCACCTCTTGTAACTTCACCAAGTCTTTCTGGCAGGAGTTATCCTGCTTGGCTACTTTCAAAGGCAAGACTTAACGCCAAATAAAAGTGAACTTATATCCACAGATATTTTCCATCTAAAATGATCTTTACAAGCTTCATTAAAAGAGCCACCTACAATCCTTACATGGAGATTCAAGAACCAACAGTGGTTCTAGTTGCTTTAGTCTTAACATTTCTTACTTACTTTTCCTTCTTCCTCCCCCTAACCCAGAGGGTGTTCTGCCATCTAACCTCAATCCTGTAAAAGTGGGACAGAGTTAATTCCAGATGAGTCTTGTAGAATCCACCTTGAACAACTCCGGCACTGAAATTACCAAAAACCTTTTCCTGAACAAGGCTTATTCTTCATGAATTTTAGCCAGGTGAGAAGTTATTCCTATGAAAAGCCTACATTATCATGAATAATGCTCATAGCACTGACTTCACTGTTACTGCTGCACACAGAAAAACATCGTGAAAATGAGGATGAAAGTTGCAAAGGCAATAAAGTGCACAAACCCATACATTTATTCAAACAGAAATAAGGTATTATCATATTAGATGACCCAACTTACTTTGCTGCAGCTGGTTTCTTCTGGTTTCATTTGGAGTTATCAAGACATAAGGGCCGACACTAAAAAGAAAGAAAACACTCAGTTTCCTGTCTTCACAAAACCAGGACTAGATGGGGGCTCCTTCATCAGCTTTCTGCTGTTGTACCAACTAACTTTGTATCAAACCTGGTATTTAATTTGATTCAGCTCTTCAGGAACTTTTTGTAAATATTCTAGGAATATTTGTTATTGTTGGAGTTGGTTGCAAATACCAAGGATAACATTTTAGCATAGCATTCACTTTTCTTATTCAAGCCTCATGCCAGATTGCTGACCTCAAAACTCATGCATTTCAAATCAAATTACTTCCTTGAATCAGAATGTTCCATGCAGTAGACAACTACTTCCACAGCTTGCTCAGGCACAAAGAACAGTCTACTGGGAAGAGCACTGGTGCTCCAGTCCCACCCCATACATCAAGGGCACCTCACAGACACCACCTTGTGGGTTTAGGCGGTCTGCCCCAAAATAGTCCAAGGAACATGCAAAATCACACTGTTTGTGATGGACCCAGGTGACTTGCTCTCTTCCCATGCCTTAGCTTCTTTGTCAGCCTTGTGTTTGTCAGGCAGGAGGAATTCCTTGGGTGTATTTATCTTGCTGTCATACCTAAGGTGCGACTCACTGAATCAGGACAAAGGCCCTGTTTGCTAGACTCAATTCAAAATGCAGTTGCTGTCTCAGGGAGCTATCAATCTAACATGACAGCAAAGAGGCAGGACAGGGTTCAGAGTGTATTAGAGACTCCAGGTGATCAAAAGAGTGATGAAAACATGTCAGTTCCACTTGGAGAAAACAAAGGGTTTTGTCAGACAGTGTATTGTGCAGGTAGGAATTTATACTGCTCCCGCTCAGCAGAGGCTGAGCCACAGGGGTGCAGGTTTACCAGAAAAGCACTAAGAGCACTTGGCTCCATGTACCAGAGTAAGCTCAGCCTCTCTTCAGCATTCAGCAAGGTTTTACCTGAATGCATGATGACAAGTATTTCATGACTTCATTATGAAGAAGGCCCAAGGAGAAGAGCAGACAACAAAGAATAATGAGGGGTGAAGGCCAAGCCTCTTAAAAGAAGAAAGGGCCACAGAGGCTGGCTAGAGGACAAAATAGAAAGTGGAGAGACCACTGTTGGCTGTGGAAAACTAATGAGAGAATGTGGCCTGAGACTAAAGCTGAAAAGTGAATAAAAATCATGCAAAGAGATCAAAGTGCAAAAAGCTGCCTGCTGCTGTATCACTGTAATTCAGGGTTTGGGAAGGAAAGTATTTATATCCAATTACCTCTTTCTCTTTGAAGACTTGTTCCAGGAGGCTGTGGGTTAATTTATGAGATTAAACTAGTAAAGATAGAGCTGTGAACTTTAATGGTGCCATTTAGTATGATCCTTTCCCTTCCTGCCAGCATAGCCTGGCATCCACAAGACTGCTCTTCACCTCTCCACCAAATCCCAGGCCCTCAAAGGCAGGAGCTAAGACAGCAGCAACACCCCTCTGGCATTCATTTCAAAAGTACAACAGTTACTTAAAATAAGTTTTGACAACCCTCTTGCTTATGGCATAACTTTCCCCATCAGTGACGTTTCTTCAGAGTTTTCTTTATTTGACTGAATAGTAGCATTTGCCTTATCCCAAACTGCCTTGACAAGCTGCTGTGCAATTATCAGTGCCACAATTTTTTTAGTAGTTTTTCTTGGCTGTTTCAGATATTAAGATCATATTTCTCTCAAGTTCAAGCATAAAAAATAAGGATCTTACAGCCCCCTCTCTTTGTTAGTGAAAAAAAAATGTCTGGGTTGCTGGGCTACCTATTTCCACCCCCCAAAAAAGCCACCAGTGCATCTCAGACATCACACTGCTTCACAGCACTAGAGGACAACAGAGTTTTCACATCATCAGATGCACTTTGATGACTTACAACAGTGTTTGAATGGTTGCTTTTTTAAAACATTAGGAATCGTTTTCAAAAGAAAATGTCTGTCTGCACATGCATGAGAAATCATGGTATCAGTTCTAGTCCTTGTGCCATGAATCATTTCCTTTATCTGCTTCTGCTTTTTAGCTGGAAGGCTAGGAGTCTGGGAGGCCAAGTGGGGGTCATGTTTCTGACATATGACCATGGTCATTATCTCTGAGCTCAGAAGAACAGCACATGCAATACAGCAAAGGTCAATCAGTTTATGAAAGGCTTAGAGGTGACGATACGCTTATCGCCAGGGAAAGCTCTGCTCTGTCTTCCAAAGAGAGGTTTAAAGTCATTGTGATTAAAAGAATGTTTAATTAAAGGCCAGTTTGGTTTCCATGTTATTGAAATAAAGACAAAGTTAAAATAAAATTAGGATGTCAAGTCACCAGTGGGAGAGGGTAAGGAAGGATACCAGCTTTCGGTTGTCTATGACCTAGTGCTTATACTACATGTTTTGTTTTACTCCAAGTTAAGAGTACATAAAACAGAAGAAAAAGCATTATTAAGTTTATCTAATTTTATACTGTTCACCTTTGTCTCCAGAGAGATAGATATGTAAGGTATGGGTACTGGGATCAGGGGAAAGAAAGAGCATACACATGGTAAACTTCTTGTGGAGTGGGTGAAAGTCTACAAGCCTACAGCAGGAGGGGAGACAGATGGGCTGTTGCTTTAGAGACTTCACCTGCCCTACCAGTTTTAATGCTAAAATTAAAAACCATACCTAGTGTCCCTTGTTTTCTTGAGATCATTTTGAAGGAAAGCAGGTTAATGCAAAAAAACCCACCACCAGCTTTCACCTGGGTTTTTTTTAGGCAATTTGCAGGATATTGCATGTTATTTCTTTGTTCAGACAAAACCTCTGTTCCAGTAAAGCCCATAAAACCCACTGCAGCCTGTCAATTTAATATTCCAGTCAGTTTCTGAGTTGTCACAGTAGCCGTAAGTCTGGAGCATATTATCCTACTTACCTGGGTAGCAATTAAGGAAATGTGAAAATCTGAAGCTATCAGTGGTGTACAGAGTTTTTATACTTTATATCAATATATGAAGTGCTTCAAAATTCACAACCAAATAAGATGATAAAGAATTTAACTTTACAGGTTCCCTAACAGTGATTCTTATTGTTATATGACTTGAGTCTATCTTTGAAGTAGGATTGTTTTATAAATAAAAATACAGAAGTCACTGGAGGAGGTGGGGAGAACATCTTACCCACTTTATAACTCTTCAAAACGGAGAAGCAAATTGTCTTCTACCTTTATAGATCATATAAAGCTTGATAAGACTTTTTTTTGTTTACTTTGTCCACAGAACATGGGAATGTATTGACTAATTAGAGAGACTGAACAGATATTAATGAGAATAAGAAAGTTATAACCCAATAAGAGAATGTATCTGTATTGAAATAAAACCAAAATGCAACCTCATATGATTTTTCAGATAGATGTCAAATACTGCAGTAGTGGGAAGATAAGTACCTAGATAACTATATATATATATATAAAAATAGAAATATAGAGAGAAACGTTTCGGTCTGGAGAAACATGCAACAGAGTCACAGAAAATTGCCAAAGAGAGTTTATAGTCTGAGTGACCAGCAACACAGAGAACATCATGTTTGCCATCTTAAATTCTGCATCCTGTGTGTAAGTAAGTCTATTCATCTAACTAGCACTACTCAAGAGCACCTTTTCAATGTTTTAAGGGTATAGACCACAGAAACCTTTGTTCTACTTTCTTTCAGATTTGTATAAAATAGTTTATTTCTAACACTGAAAAAACATTCACTAATAATGTTTTCTGTATGGCTGTGTCCTTGAGCATTTCCTCAAGCCTACTCCAGTCACCCACCACTGGAGAGCTTTCCAAATGACGTGTGAAGTAATTTAAAGAGTTACAAAAGTAATGGCTATTGTAAAATATTTCCAGTTCTACTGTGTTTTATGCTGCAGTACACCGGTACATGAATGCCACAAAGCTAAAAGCTAAATATTTTGCTCTGCTGGGCAATGGGCTCTAAGTAGGAGATCGAATCTGAGTGTAGTTGGAGAGCAACGCAGATGATTAAAGCTTGGGAAGAAGATCTGGGCAGGTTCAGTTTGGAGAAAGGACAGAAGTGAAGATATAGGTGAAATACTGCAATAAATACTGTTAAGACTGAATTTAAAAGAGAAAAGGGACCAAAGTGCCAAACACAATTGTTAAATCTCATTCAAAGATGCACCAAGCTAAACGTTGCAGTCAATTATCAGGAATTGCTTTAAAAGCATCCATGACACCACAAAGTACTGTGTTCACCAGTGCTCCCATGCCTGATGAAACATCCATATGCTGCTAAGTACCATTGAAGCTGTCAAGTCAGAGGGCTACAAGAAGCCAAATCCCAGTGAGTAGACAACTGTCCTGTAGGTATTCCTGTTTTGCAATGCCCACCAGGCCAGATGCTATCAATAACTGACAGCCACAGCTCAATATGCTCTACGCCATGGCACTGCCATAAGCAGAGCTCCAGAAGGGTATACAAACCTTGCATGCAGGCTTGAGTCTCTCCCTTTCCATCTTTATCAGAAGCAGCATCTTATCAGTTTGCAGCTCAGAGACAAAAGTGAATTACTGGGCCTAAACACTATACACTGTCTGATTCATCCTAGATGCATGTGTACTCTTTACATGAGAGGCAGAAAATAAAGTGCATTAGCAGAAAATGCTTATCATCAAAAGTCTACATTCATGGATTTTGTCCTCTTTTTGCCACAGGCTAAGTGTGAACTTAATTACCACAGTTCACCTGATGCCTGGAAGCTTATTAAGCCAGGGTAACTCACTTCTCTATCTGGTCCCTCTGGTTAGCTAAAGCTTTCATTAAAACAATGTTTTTGCCATAGTGAGTTAAATCCTGCAGAAGTGAACTTATGTGAGGGAGGAAAACAGCAGCAGAGAGAGGCCCAGGAGAAGGTAAGAGTCAGAAACAAGCAGGAAAGCAACAGAACTGTGGTTCTGCTGTTGGCAATCAAATCACAGTCCTGTTACCCACAAGCTTGTAGAGAAATTTCTGAAGTTACAATTTGGTCCAAAGAGTAAATCTCAGAACTGAATTTCCAGGAATTAAGATGGGGCTCAGATTCAGCAGCTTGGTTAGGGCTCGGCATATGACAGCACAGTAGAAAGAACAGCAAGTGCTTCAGCCAGCATCTCATTTTGGACTATCTCAACCACCTTTCTAAAGCTCTAAGGAAATTGTCACAGTGATGGACTAAACCAGTGAGCCAAGGGGTATCTCTCAGCCCAAACCTGGCTCACAGAAAAGCTTTCTCTCTTCTCTGGAAATGCTAACATGCCATTAGTCAGCATACACTCGGGCACCAGTGTGAGTTCGCTGTGCCAGTGTGATAGGCTAATATCAGACCCAACAAAGTCTGATGAAATCAAATACAGCTGTGTTTATGTTGTCCCCAGGTCCCAAAGCAGCTCAGCTACCTCAGCACAGCACAGTGCCAAGGATGCAGCGGGTGTGCCAGAGCCAGCTGGAGCACATGGTAGTCACTAGCCGTGAGGAGCACAAAGTATCCATACACGGGCAGGCTGGGTAATGGGCTTGGCAATACCAGTGCTGAGCAGAGCTACCTCCTGCAGAGGTATCCATGTGTTGTGAGTCAGGCTTGCCAGCATGCTTGGAGAGTTGAGCAGGTCAGATGCAGTATCCTATTAAGATTAAGACATACACTAGTGGCGTGTTCACCTCTGCTTTCCCCACTTTCTTTTCAACAATATATTTCATCTACCCCTGCCTTGCAGTATTTGTTGTCTGTTCATTTCCCCTGCCCAAACACAGTATCCTCCCATATGTTCCTTCTCCACCATCTCACCACAGTTCCTCATCAAGCTATGCACCAAGGGAACATGCCAGGTCTTGTGCACATCCAGCTCTTCTGAGAAAACCTTCTAACACAGGATTTAGGAGGGCTTACTCCCCACCTCTATAAGGAGCACAGCAGCCACCAGAATCCAGACTAACAGAAATCTTACTGCAGTTATTCTTTTATGCAGACCTGCCACCAGACACTTGGCTGCAGACAAGGCTGGCTACTGACCACTGTGAAAGCAGGCATCTCTGGGCTGTAAAGATTAGTACATCAGCCTGAAAGATAGAGAGTTGGGAGATTTCTCCTGTGCAGCAGAACACAGCTGTAAACAGATTGTCCATAATTCAAATTACCCTTCTAGCACTCCCACTACTGACAGGGCAGGGGGTAAGAAAAGAATTTTGCTAAGCATCTGCCTGCCATTTCATAGACTAATTTTGTGCTTTTAAAAAGAAATTTCAGACTGTGAAACAAAATAAAATTTTCAGAAGAACTGCTAAATATACTCTGCCAGAAAAAGATTGAGAAGTCTGACAATACTATGGATATTTTTCTTTTTAATTTAGGATGAAGAATGGAAAAGGAGGAAAAGAAAAACCCTGATGGATTTGGCTTCAGCAGTCAAAGAACACAATTTTATGAGTCAAGCATTCTCTGCTCTCGTTTCATACAAAATGATGAGGGATTGTTACCAGCTGTGTGACAATGTATCTTCAGATTTTATTATCTGAATTTGATTTTTTTTAATGGATTTTACCAGAACCAATATTATTCTTGCCAGCTTTAAAGGTGCCAAGGGCAGAATGCTGAATGAGAGCAGCATTTCCTTTTTCAGGCGGTAGCTATAGTTCAGCCTCTAATTTCCCCAATTTCCTCCACTTTTTCTTCATACAGGCTTTTGTTTCTGAATAGACATGAACAGGGGCAATTTGTGAGTTCTCTTTCTACAAGTTAATTTCATGGCACTTAGCAGACAAAGTGAAGTAACTTACATTCAAGCTTATTATTATATGCAGTTTCAAGCACTTGTCATCCTGGTGATTTTTTCTCTATGGCCTGAAATCATATACTATATATAACTATAAGGGGATGTGCAAAGTTTGATCTAAATTTTACATTTGAAAAAGTATTTTTCATAACTTAATTAGGACCATTTTATTATAACTTCTCAGTCTTGACATATATAAGGGCTTTTCCAAAGCAAGAGAAAAATTACCCTCTAATATCAGTTGCTCACCTTGTACTTTTTAATAGTCAAGTTTGAATGTTGACTAGTGGATAAGACCACAACATGCCACATCCCATATGTATTTCATGTGTCCAGTCTACATGAAATGTCACCAGATGTCACTGACATGCTACAAAGGTGTTTTCCCACTCCCAATTGCTCTGAAGCACAGCTTCAGACTGAGGGTTTGCATGGAAACAGTTCACACATAGACTTCAAAAGAGACTCCAACTTCTGCTTTGCTGGCAGCAAAATCACATCCTGCTTGTTTCCAAAAATAGGAAACAGCAGACAAGCTGGAATAGAGGCACTCATTGGCACAGAGGTATCCAGCTTTGGCCCCTCATGCTCCCCCTGCTATGCATATTCCAAAAAATCTTCTAGGTTAATGCTAGTCTGTGCATCATTTCTTCTACTGATACCTTATGACTTCAGCTCTCCAACTGCTCTGTTCAACCCTTGGTTATCTCAGAGTCTGAAAACCTGGACTACTTTGAGGGTGTCTTAGCATTTTAATTTTAAAGATCATGTTTAAAAGGTGTGTTGGCTAAAAGGCTGAGTCAGCTTTATCACTGTTAAAATCACATTTTAATCTGAGATCTTGTTTGAAACATAACTTGAGAGAGCTGAAGATAACAATGAATGAAATAGCAATTTTATTTTTTAAGAATAAATAGCAGCCCTTGCGTCCTTCAGCATTTCAGACACTATCTACCATTTCAACCTGGGTTAGTTAAAGGAAATTAGAGTTTAAGCAGTTTCATCCCATCCAGACTGACTGCTAGCATCCCCCTCCTCAAGAGAAGGAAGTAAACACCAGTCTTGTTTGCTTTTTGAGTACGTTTCCCACTCATACTACACAGTTTCTGTTTGAATCTGCCTTTCCCTCACCTCTCCTCACTGGCTACATAGTAACGCTAACTTTAATTTGTACGCTCCATGTTTAAGAATTAATTCTTTGTTGCAACTTTATGAAAACACAGAATCTCTCACATCACATAGCAGAAAAACTTTCAGCAGTCCCTGCATTGGATGCACAACAGCTTTCTGTAAGCATCATACAAAGATGAAAAAGAGAACAGGGTTTTAAATTATTCTTCCCCCAAAGCTTATTTAGCTTTAAGGAGGATTCCATCATAGGGGTTGGAACTAGATGCTCTTAAGGTCCTTTCCAACCCTAACCATTCTACAATTCTGTGATCATCTGGTCAGAATCTGGGTGAATATATTTGCTCTAGCCTTCAGTTCTATGGGGATCTCAGGCTAACCAATTGGTTAAGCATTTATGTAACCTGTACAAGTGGGTTTGCATCTCAGAACAAATCTGTCCAAAGACAGTTATACCAATGGGAAAACTCTCACTATCCATCCCCTGGCCTCTGTGCCCCTCCAAAACACAACAAAAAGTTATACACAGCACAAATACACAAGCAAACTTAGGGCTGCCTGCACTCTACTGTGGATATTTGCCAGTGTTAGGGCAGGCAAGAAGGAGGGTCTTTCATGTTTGGAAGTGGCAGGAAATAAACAAAGATTGCAACTCAGGAATTTGCTCTCCTGAAAGTCAGCCATTAAAGCGCTGAGAGATTCAAAGCTACCCAGCTCTTAATAGTCCCTGTATCATTACTGCCCAGTAGGCAAGCATTTGTGGGTTATAATGGAAAGCTGCTGATCACTGCTTGCAGTCTGCAGCCTGCCACCTCTTTCACAGCATGGCTTCACATTCTTCATCCAAAAGAAAGGAAAGGAAACCAAAACAGTCTTCAGTTTCCATCAGCTGCACTTTGAAAGTGGGGGGGAGGACAGAAAACTAAGCAAAGTCAGCACATATAATAGCATGCAGTGTTACATGCACTAATAGCTCAGCAAAAGCACATTTGGGGAAAAAGACTGTAAAGAATTAGATTGGGTCAGCTAAGCATATTTGTAGTAAGCACACATAAAATACACATACACACACATGCTACTTTCAGTTTCTATTCTGTATTATACATGCAAGCTAGAGCTTATACAAGCCATCTAAGAACTGTCACTATAAAATCAGAGATGGGCTGAGCATAGGTGCCAATAAAACCTAAAATGATATTGAGGGCTGAAGCTTTGGTTTTACTCTTGTCAGCATAAGCTGTTTGAAGCTGTTCTGTGTTCTGGATTGCATTCGGATCAGTGCTGGAATATAGCCTTTATCCTTTATCTGTTAAGCCAAAGGAAGTATTTTTAGACTTTGCAGGATGACATTTTAGGAGACAGAAAACACAGACCTAGAATCACATTTGAAATTTCACTTTGAAAAAGGATGCCAAGAAACAGACACCACATACACCAATATCTAGATCTACAGAACTGGCCACTGCTATCACACGAGGTGTAAGCCATGCTATCAGGAAGCCTGCCAGAACAACTCAGGTCCCATGTAGGAAGCAGGTGGCTGCAGAAGGATGAAGACATTCTGCTTCTGTGCCCATTCCTATTTACAGGATCTCTATAAAGTATTTCCACCTTTGAAGGTGCACACTTCGAGTGAAGTGAACAGGCACCAGATACATGAAACATCATCTTAGTCAGGCTCCTTATTACTTACTACTGCTCTTGCTGTTGTTGGTAGCCTGATGCTTGGCCACTTTGCTCCTTTTTAGATGTTGTTGGTTTCTGGGGGGTTTCAGCCTCCTCTCTTTCGTTGTTGCTATCCCAGAGGTAATCCTGAGAGGATCCTGGGGTACTGGAGGTAGCAGCCATCCTGTACCTGATGCCATCCCTCCAGCCTCGAATTCCAGACATTGCTTCAGGAGTACCTTGCCTTGTCAGAAAGGAGTATCACTGCTAAGGCTAGAGAAAGACTCAAAACTTCTGACTTCTCACAATTTAGTTTCAATTCCTTTTAAGACCCACCCATGCCTGGACTCTCAGCTGTAACACATGCAAACACATGCACTAGATTCTGAGTCACTCCCTAGCTGAAGCTCAGTTTGGTCAACTTAACCAACTGGAGTTGTGGGGTGACAGCAAAGCTAATGGAACAGTCAACAGCAGTTTGTGCTGTCTTGGAATAGACTGCTTCATCCTAAGATGTGATTAGTAGTGGACTTGGCAGTCTAGATTAATGTTTAGACTTGATCTTAAAGGTCTTTCCCAACCTAAATGATTCTATGATAAGCATGGTGAGGTCTGGCTGAAAGCCATATTTCTGACAACATTTTACCCCAGCATTTCAAATTTCCCTGTGACAGAGGGGAATAACTCTAGAGGGTTTGCTGGTTTCTGTTTTGCAGGAGTGTACAAAGAAAAATGAAAGTGAAACTCAAAATTAACCCTCAGATAAATCCTAAAGTAATGGTCCTGCTCAACCCTGATTCTGCATTTCAATTCTGCTCAACCAGAAAACCTTTTACTTTTACTTTCCTAATTCTACCTGATGAATAGAGGACAAATACATGATCCTCTTAAGCAAAAACACAGACTCCTTCAGTGAATGCATCTAACCACTGTTACTGCTATCTATGGGGTCTGCAGGGCTGGGGAAAACCAGCAACCTGCTCAATATCACTAGTAAAATAAAGATGTTTGGCAGTTCCTAACCAAAGAAAAAAAGAACTAGTAATGCCACTCAAGCTTTATGCAGCAGAGCTAGGGAAATCCAGCTCTACACACGCAGATCCTGTCGCTTTTGGTCCTCAGCTGCTCAAGCTGCACAAACTCCACATTGCTAAAGGGATTGTTTTGTGGCCAGGTGTCCTGACTGTCTAGACTGTGTATGTCTTACAGCACACACTACACATGCTGGGAAAGAAGCAAAATAAAATGCTACATGGAGAGCCACAGGCTGCTTGGTGTTCATGCTGCTCCTTGGGGTGCCATATGAGACCCCATCACCAGCAGCACACCTCCAGGAGGCGCCACAGGACGTATCTCCTAGGGCTGCCCAATGATAACAGCATCAGTAGTCTTTCCCGCCCAACATCTCTCCTAACACACTCTGCAGCTGGGATGATTCTCATTTGTACACAAATCATTCTGCAGAGACTCTGCATGCAATGGCAGTGTGTTGCAAAGGACTGGTGCCTAGTCCTTCGCACCTCTTCCAGAACTGTCTCACTTTTGGGCCATGATTGGTCTAGCCTGGTCTACGAACACACAGAAACACTGTGGGAGAGTCTAGTATGCTCACTTCCTGGAGACAGATAGCAGAAATCACCCAAAGGTCCTCTGCCTGTCTTCTACCAAGCCCTGATCTCTCTAATCCCAATGCAGTATCAGACTGCTTGCTCACACAGCCTGTTTTAGTTTGGAAACTACCCATGAGGCCAGAGCAAAAAATAAACATGGACTGTAACAACCTTCTTTGCCTCATATCATTTAAAGCTGTATGCTGTGGGCAAAGGAGTATGTCTTGTCTGTAAGACATTGCTGGGTCATAGCTCCAAGGCAACTCTAGACATTGCCGACAGCCAACATAGGCAGGTTTCTTGTTTAAGGGTGTTTCAGGTTGGTCTGGGTAAGTGTCTCCTCTGCCAGATGTCTTCAGGAACTGCTAAAAGACAAAAGGCATTACAGTCTTGGACTAGATGTGTGGAGTTATTCTTTACCTCTCTGTGGTAAACACAGACATTTTGTCCTGCATAGTGACAGGGCTATTAACAGAAATCAAATGCATGGCACTTCACAATCTGAGCCATCTCCTAAATTGAATGAGGTGTTCAGGTAGGTCAGAAGGCTCAAGGCTTGCTGTCCTCCTTCATGAGCTGCCGGCACAGATAAAGGCAGGCTGTGGGGATGATCTCTTCACACAGGTTCCCCCTCCTTTTCATATACATATACATATACATATACATATACATATACATATACATATACATATACATGTGCAAGGTGCTGGCAAATGAAAGTAAGCACAAAGGTTAGTCCCTTATGCAGGAGTGTGGGGTAAATACTTGAGTGTAGAGAGACTAGAAGAAGTATGAAATTATAGCAAAGTCATGTCTGAAGACTGCAAAGATTTGGGATAACAGCTGTGCCTACAGCTACACCCTATTTGGTAAAAAATCCATCTTTGACATCTGGTTTCTTTTTAAGTGATGCAGATTGATGTCTTAATAACCAAAATTTAATGACACAAATTGATTATAATTAACGTGGCCACTGCTGCTGAATCTTCAATCCCACATTGTTATGTAAAATTCAGATCTAACGTCTGTTTCTTGTTGAAATTTAGAAAGTTTTGGCTGCAAACAATAACTATAGAATCTAAAGAGTTTACACCTATGTTGATCAAAAAAGAGGGATGTAGAATGAAACCAAGCACTAGAAGCTCAATCACTTACATCACTTCAATGCTTTTATTTCTCAGCTTTGTTGTGGACAAGCCAAACTAATTCTCTCTGGGACAATGTCCAGTCCCAGCTCTAAGGATGGTTCATGCCAGACACGACTCCCAGAAAAATCAGTACGAATATGACTACATCAGATTTATCTTCCTCCCCACAAAAATACCTCTCCAACAATGTCCCAGCAATCTCTGCATCTCAAATTCATCCAATGTACCTCTGTGTGGTGATCCACCATATGTCATTCAGCAGCCCAGTTTCACACTACTAAACCACAATTTTCAATGGGCTGCAACCCATCCCTCTTATTGCTTCAGACACAATGAGCTGAAATATCCCCCAAAATAATAATGAAGTTTTAGGATCAAAGCAGTCCCTCCTAGGCCTCTCAAGACACTTGGAGCTTACTTAAGTGCTGCGCAGTTAGGACATGCATATTGCCTCCACCAGGCTCCTCCTAGCCTCTTAGGCTCCTCCTAGCCTAGTGGAGTCTAACTTTAGGCAGCATGTATATGAACAAGCCTGTGCTAGCTGGTTTTAGGATGAAGGATCACTCTCCAGCCCTATTTTATTTAGTGTTGTAGGTGCTAAATAGATGCTAAAGCATCTGTGCTTCCTAAGTATCAGAATGCCAATGTATTCAGACTCCTGAAACATGCAAGCCCCCCCCCCCCAAATCTCAACCCTTCCCAGACCCTCTGTAAGAATTATACCAATACTTACTTTTTTTGTACATCCACCAAATATTTGCTGCCTATTCTATCTGATGGTTTATGTTTATAGTATTCTTATATCCCTAACTGGGTCTGATGCTGTGGTACATTGGCCCTTGCTAACAGGCAAGCACCCACACAGCTGGCGGCTTGCTCCTTCCATCCCTTCCTGCCAGTGGGACAGGAGAGAAAACAGGAAAAGGAGTGAGAAAATTAATCTGACAAAATAAAGCTTCTTTGTCTGTAAAGCTCTGTTGCCTCCAGCTATTAACAATTTTTTTTCATATATATATATTATGTGAGATCAAAAGATAGAAAACAGTCTTTCTTTTGCTTTGAGAAAATCCCTCAGTGGACATATGAAATCTTAAGAATCACCACATTCCCTCCCTCACATGTGTTTTTCATGAGATTACAATATTAAAATAACTTATGTAGAGGAATATTCGGTATTGGATCTTTATTTCCAACACAACAGCACCATGAACTATACAAAAAATGAGAGATGTTAGAAATCCTTTCTCACTAGAAAGGATACTGAGAATCCCAGCCAGCTGCCTTAACCTTTCTTTGGAAATGTCAGATAGGATAAAACTCTCATCTAGGGAAGAAATAGTACTAAAAAAAAAATTAAAAAAATAATAAAAAAGAAGTATTTAAAACAGTGCAATGCCCCCTACCTTTCCTTCCCTGAAAACACCTATTCATTCTTCATTATTTCCCTGATGGTTTACAAATTTTAAGGTTTTGCATTTTTAAGGCTTTTTTCCACAACAACAGACATGTTTCATTAAAAGCTAAGATGTTCATTTAACCCAAAGAGACCAGAAGATCAGAGCCTGAAGAAAAGTGTAAAGCTGCAGGAGACTTTTGAGAAAGAGAGCCAGGACAGGATAGCTTTCCAACAGCCACTCTCTTTTTCCCAGGAACCAGCAAATGGTATCAGAAGGCTTTGACTGCTAGAAAATTGCTTTTTTCTTTGCCGTCACCTAAAATACGTAGTCTTGCAGCTGAGTATGATGCTCAAGGTAGTTTTTTCCCTGGATATTTTGGCTAAGTATGCAAGACACCCAGCTAAATACACTACAGAGCATACATGTGCAATTTATCATTGGGAACATCTCTCTGTATTTTAGGGCAATGACAAGGGATAGCAAATATACCTAGAAGCATACCTGCAACTAGCACTGCATATAGTGTTTTTATACCATGATGGCAAATTAAAAATTCAGTTTTTAAAGATGCCTTTCATTTTACCAAAGTTTTACTGGCTTAAAACCATAGCTTGCTGCACAATTAGTTGTGAACAGAAAACCTTAACTGGACAAGTAATGTTCAGCTTGACTTTGAAAGTACATACTTATGGTAAGCAAAATATCCAAGCTCACTGTAGACAAAACCCACAAAACATGAATATGAATGAAAACTATAGTATCATTTCTGGTTTTGTGCACTTCACAGAAAATGTTGTGTTAGGAGCAAGTCCTCTTTTGTGAGGACAGTGTACTCTGCAGCGCCTGCAGCACTAATTGTTCCAACTCAGGATGCTGGAGAAGAGAAATTTCTCTGCTCCCTGGAGAGGTAGTCCCAGAAGGAAGGTGAAGTGTCAGCATTCAGCCAAGATTTATTCTTGTTTAGATTTAGGACTGGAATTTGTCAGGCTCAGCAGAAAGAATTCCATTAGCTCTGACAAGTGCATGTGTGCATCTGTGTTGGGTAATCTATTTAGGAGATGTAAAATGCTGCACACACTTCCCATTTTGTTGCAAAAAGCTGAAATTGATGGTCCCTGTCAAAACTATCATCTCCCAGTCTCTAAAAGAAAATTGACCCTTGGTTTCTCTGCAGTACCCTTCAG